GGGGGGGGGGGGGGAGAGAAGGCAGAGAAGACCTCCCCTCAAACAGCTGGCCGAGGAGGAAGAGAGGAAAGACCCTGTAATCTGCAAAATACGCCAATGCTGGACTTGCCCGTCTCATCTCGCGCACACAAGCTGCCCACCTGTCCAGCAGATGGTGGCATTTTCCACCTGGGTGGGGCCCCCCCTGTGCATTTTGCAGTGGGGGGGCATGGGAAAGCCCCCCCCCCCGGGGCGAGAAAACAAGTCTAGGGAATGTATATCCCCTACCAGATATTTATATATATATTTGGGGGGGGGGGGAGCGGTTGGAAAACCATTGTTTTGAAGATGGAGCTTCCAAATTTTGTCTTTTCTCTCTCTCTCTCTCTCTTCCGAGGACTTTATCCGGATTGCCAAAGCGGCAAGCTTTCCACCCGTTGCCTTATCCATCCACCAGCAATGCCTTTTCTTATTTATTTTTTTTTTAAAAAAAGTCTGCCCCTCCTCTTTCCATTTTTTAAAAAATTTGATTCAAACGACTCGAATCCAAAAGGGGGAAGAAAAGAAAGACAAAACAAGATGATTTTTTTTTAAAAAAATGTGAATTAAAAAGGATGAAATGCTTTAGGAAACAACATTTCTCCCTAAAAAAAAATCAATTTTAGGGTTTCTGGAAGTGGATTCCTCCTGGGAAGAAGTTTGAAGAGCTGCGCACACACACACACACACCGCCTTCAACGCTTCCTTTCAAGGATTCCCTGCATTGGGGACGGGGTTGGTATAGATGACCTCCTGGGAACCTTCCAAAACTTTTGATTTATTTTTTTTGCTCCATGCAACAAAATAGGTTTAGCTTTCCTCAATGGGCTACCACAAAAGGCACTTTTTGCAAAACAGGGAGGAAAAAATGTGTAATTTTATAAAACAACCGAAATGTGGTGTTCCCAAGTCCTGTTGGACCAGAACGCCAGGGAAACTGAGTCACGCCCTCCTGCTCCTTCAAGCCACCGGTCTCTCCGGAAAGGGCTAATTATTGGCCTGGTTAATTACCAGGTGCCTTTGCTATGCCCCCGCCAACATGGAAGGTATGAGTTAAACAAACCCCAAAAAATCTAGAATAGGAGAAAGGAGCAACCCGAATTTATTATTATTATTATTATTATGATGGATTGTAGACACAATTCATCTGTCACTCCCGACAACGTAACGTGTGGGCTGGATGCAAAAATGCAGCTCGTGAAGCTTAAAAGGAAGGCATTAATATTTATGAATAATTATAGTTTGGGCAGCCAATGACCGAAGGAGGAAAAAAAAATTAATACAAGTCGTCCTTGAACTTTAAAAAACGGTTCATTTAGCAACCATTCAAAGCTACTATGCACCGAAAATAAAATTCCTTTTGGTCTGGTTCAAATATCGGGCAGACCCCGTGAATTTGAGCGACACCGCCAGTGCTAAGTGGGCAATTTTAATTCCTGTCACCCCTTTTTTCTAGATTGCACAAGGTCTTGAGACATCAGCTAAAAGGAGATGTGAATCTGATCTCCTCAGCTAGTGAGTGCATGTAAATAAGGTTTTGTCTCTCTGTGGAGGTGCGTCCCTTTTGCATATATATTTGCAAACCTGGTCGCCACCTTGGCACCTGTGTGGCAAACTAAGCCTCTAGAATAGCAGAGCCAGCATTTATCCACCCCCCCTGTGGGATTTCCTACTTCCCGTAACATCCCACCCGCCACGCTCCAGAAATGAAAATTCAAATTTCATTGAGAAAGAAAAGCAGAACATAAAATTCTCGGATCAGCTCTACACTCCTCCTTTGTCGCCACATTACAACACAGAACGAAAATCACCAGTCTGGATTTTTTTCCCCAGCCTCCTTGAATTTTTTCCAAAAAAACTTTTATTCTGAGTTGTCTGGGTCAATTTTACAAAATTGTGGATTGTTGTACGCCCTTCCCACCCAGGAGTATATTTCCATGAGACGGGCGGATATAAAAATCTGATCAAATTAACGCATTTATAAAATAATGGGGATTCTTTATGGCTTTTTCTGGCTGCAAAATGAATAGAAACGAGTGATCTTTTTTTTTGGACTTAGCAACTGTAAAACAAACATGGAAAGCGGTGATTTATGTATTATAATGTCAAAGGGGAAATTGCTTATAATTGCTGTAAAGAAGATCAGAAATAATTTCCTTAAATGCCCTTTTCTTTCCTTCCTTCCTCACCCCTTCCCCTCCAATTCTCCTTCCTCCCCTTTCACTTCCTTTCTTCCTTCCCCTTTAATCCTTCACTGTCATTATCAACTGTTTTCTTCTTTCCTCCTTGTCTATCTCTACCTTACCTCCTTCCTTCCCCTTTTTCCTTCCTTGCTATCTTTTTCTTTTCCTTCTATCTTTCCTTCCCTTTCTTCCAGCCATCCTTTCCTTTCCTGCCATCCTTCTCTCTTTTCCTTCCTTCCTTCCCTCTCCTATTCTCTGCACTATTTTTCTTTCTACATGTCTTCTTATTTTTCACACACTCAGATTTCAGATTATCTTTTGCTACTGTTCAAACTTTTAATAAAAATTTATTTTATTTTTTAAAAAAGGAAGCAGCTCTTTTTCTTGACACGGATTTCCCCAGCCAGGCTGCAAACCCTCCCCAACAGTTCAATCATGCACTGAACAATCGTTTACTGTCCGTGGGTAATTTCTGTTCCCATAAAGGCTGCAGGTCAAAACTTCATGCCGTGTCGAGCAAGGTCAGCTCGGGCCTCTCGGATTTGGGCCTGCAGCTCAAGCGAGGCCTCTTGGCAGTCGTTGAAGGTAGCCAGGCGGAAGCCCACGACTCCCAGCGAGTAGCAGCCGAAGGTGACCAATAGGTAGGTTGGCAGGGCCCACAGCACCTGGTGCCAGCTTGGGGATAAAGGGTGGGACCCCACGAGGTCCAGCATCAACGCAGCCCAGACGCCACCCAGTAGGGCCAGAGAGCCGAGCCACTGAAGCAGTTTCGTCATGATCCTGAAAAACAGAAAAAAAAAAAATGGTGCAAACTTGAAAGAGATTTGCAAAGATTCCCAGCCCAATATATTTCAGGACACCTCTGCCAAAAATTTAAGAATTTTCTTTGCAAGTAAGTACAGGAAGGAGTTTGGGGTTTGGCCTCTCCCTATACCATCCACACACACACACACACCCTTTGCAAAATCTGGAATCAAGTTTGAGTATTAAAAATAGTCCAGGAAAACGCAAGATGTTCCTGCCAGGCAGAGAGAGAAAATGTGTTTGAATATCAGTAGATAATATAGTAGATATTAGTATGTGTGTATGTGTGTATAGATAGATACGGTAGATAGATAGGTAGGTAGGTAGGTAGGTAGATAGGTAGGTAGGTAGACAGGTAGACAGAGAGATAGAAGATTAGAGATATAGATATGTAGAGATAGAAATAGAAGATTAGAGATAGATATAGACGATTAGAGATATAGAGATAGATAGATGTAGATAGATATAGAAGATTAGAGATAGATAGATAGGTACAGATAGATAGGTACAGATAGATATAGATGTAGATAGATATAGAAGATATAGATACAGATATAGATATAGAGAGAAGGTTAGAGATAGAGAGATGTAGATAGATGTAGATAGATATAAAAGATTAGAAATAGATAGAAATAGATAGATAGATAGATGATAGATAGATAGATAGATAGATAGATAGATAGATAGATAGATAGATAGATAGATAGATAGAGATATATGCATACACGGGAAAGGCAAGATTTCCCAACTAGGCAGAGGAAGAAAAACAGCTTTTCAGACACACTACAAGTCCCACTAACAAGTCCCGCTAACTATTGCCATTTGCCCAGGCAGATGGGAACTGGAGTCCAACCTCCGAAGATTGGACTCTACCCAAACAGTAATATTTTGCAATCCTTTTTCCAGGTCCTCTCCTAATAGCGAGGACCAATATGTATAAAATAATATGATATATCGTATCATATAATATATATCGTATGTCCTATATCATAGATTAATTATATAACATATCTTATATCTGCATTTCCCAATAGCAATTGCAATTATATCTTTTTTCATTATTACATCTACGATTACATCTGTGCCTCTGACAGCGACGGTTATGATACCTTTATTATTATATGATTATATCTGTGCATCTTCTAATTGCCATTATCTAGAGTTATATTTTCATTATTAGCAGCAGCAATAAAAAAAAGGATGCCCGCCCGCCCTTTTCCTATTTTTTGCAACAATTGCAAAAAAACCAATATAACCTTCCCCAGGGATAAACCCGCAAGTGTCGACCCCGCTCCTGCCCGCATTCTCACGACCCACCGACTCCGGGTGCAAGCGAGTTTTTTTTTTTCCTTCCAGCTTCCCCGACTTTGCCCGTCGCTCGTTGGTGACGTCACTCCCGTCCCTTCCAACCACCGCGCCCGCTTGAGCGGGTGGCGCCGGGAGAGCGCCGCGGTGCTCGCCGGGAGTTGTAGTTTTCGCCCCCTCCTTAAACAAGTTTTACGTTGTAGCGGAAGGTGGAGAGGGAAGGCAGGTTCTTGAGCATGGGCAGAGTGCTGGGGAGGAGTTGCCACACTCTTGGGAGGGAGTATGTCTGCACAAGGTAGGAGTCTGCTCTTTTTTCATTTAAAACTAACCTCCCCCACCACAAACTCTCATTTTAACTGTGTTGGAAGTTATTCTGGGCTAAATGTTGGAGAATCATGAGGACTGGAAACTTGGTTGTAAGGGCTGTTTTTAAATGTTTCATGTGCGGATGCAGGAAGACTGGAATCCTTACTACCTATAAGTGTGGCGTTTAAATTGGGTTTTCTGTGCAAAACCATGAGGACTATAAACTTTATTATAAATGCTTTATAATAATATATGTATATGTATGCTATATAATAGTATATATGCAGAACCATGAGGGCTGGAAACTTGGTTATTTGCAAGCACAGCGTTTAAAGCGGATTTCTGTGCAGAGATCACCAGGACGGGGGAGTCTTCATTGCATTATAAATCTGCTTGTGTGTGCAAGAACTGCGAGTGTCGGAATTTTTTCATCGTGTATACAGATATGGCCGTTAAATCAGTTGTCTGTGCAGAATCATGAGGACTAGAATCTGCGTGAGAAGTTTTGTATTTAAATCGGCCGTTCTATGCAAAGCCGTGGGAACGGAAGTCTTCATTACGAAGCATTCACATCACCTTTTCCCATACATAACCATGAAGAGGGAAACTCTTTATCAAAAAGCAACCCTTCGGCATTTAAACTGGGCCAAAAAACCCCCCAATGAGGACTAGAAGCTTGGCATCATTCCTTGAGGTAGAAGCATCGCTCTTGGCTTTCTGGCTGCTTCAATTTTGCCACCTGATATAAAAAGCCCATTTTTTATTTTATTTTTTGTTTGCTGTTCCAATTGCACATTCCCATTGCATTCCAATTGCACATAAGGCCAAAAAAGGCTGAAAATCGGGCCCAAATAGGCCAAAAATGGGGTCAAAGCAGGCTAAAATTGGGCCAAAAATGGCTGAAAATCAGGCCCCAAATAGGCCAAAAATGGGGTCAAAGCAGGCTAAAATCGGGCCCAAAATGGCTGAAAATCAGGGCCCAAATAGGCCAAAAATGTGGTCAAAGCAGGCTAAAATTGGGCCAAAAATGGCTGAAAATTGGGCTGAAAACAGGCCAAAAAACAGTCCAAAAATTGGGCACAAAACAGGCTGAAAAAGTGGGCTGGAAAATGGGCCGAAAATGGAAGGAAGGAATCCATTTTGAGACCTCTTCTCTACAAGGACCCAACTGGCCCTGGCGGAAGGTGCTGGGAACCAGGCGCCGCCACCTTCCCACTGGTTCCCTCTGGCCAGGCGCGCGGGAATCCTGGCGGGCATGGGAAACCGCGGGAGGGGTGTCCCCCCGCATGGGGACGCTGCCACCCGCCGGGTTCCCACTGTTGTTCCCAGCTTTCTTTCTTCCAGCGGCTCCTGGAATCGGCGCGCAAGGAAAGGGAGCTCCGTCTTGGGAAGCAGAGGCGGCTTCTGGCAGGAAACATCTGGTTTCCTCCACCGTCGGTGTGTCCGGCCCAGGCCGGGATTTGGCTGAGTTGGGAAGGAGAGGCAGGCAAGGAAGGTGGGGAGGCCGAAGAGCTGAGGGAGGGAGAGGCCGCGACTTGGCTGTGGGGTGGTCTTTGATCTCCTCTTGGGGCTTTATCCAGCCATCTCCTCCTCTTCCTCCTCCTTTCTCGCCTTCCTTCTCTTTCTCCTCCTCCTCCATCTTCCGCTTTGCCTCTTGGTCTTTCTTCTCTCTCTTGTATCCTTCCTTTTCCTTTTCTGCCTCTTTCTCTCTCTCCTCTTCTCCCCTTTCTCCTCTTGGTCTAGCTTCTCCTTCTGTTTCCCTCCTTTTCCTTCTCTCCCTCTTTCTCTCTCTCCTCTCCTCTTTCTCCTTCTTCGGCTTCTCTTTTCTCCTTGTGTATCTCCTCCTCCTTCTCTCCCTCCTTCTTTCTCCTCTTCCTCGTCTGTCTTCTCCTTCCCCTTGTTCCCCGCCTCCTCTTCTGCCTCCTTCTCTTTCTTCTTCTCTGCCATCTCCCTCCTCCTCCCCTCTCCTTTTTAGCACTGATGATGTTACCCAGTTGGGTCATGAAACGTCTGCAAGAAAACCACCAAGTTCAGAGAGCACCAAGGAGCCCAGTCTCCCTCCCTCCCTCCCTCCCTTCCTTCCTTTCCTTTCCTTTCCTTTCCTTTCC